TTACCTTTAATGCTACCATAATTCTGCTTCCAAAGTGAAGTGATGGTACTGAAACTAAAATTACATTTGAGTTACATCAGGGATGTAGGCTATTGGGCAAACTTAAATCATTCCGGACCACAGGAGTTTCTGGACCACAGTATGCCGGACTAGAGAGGTACAACCTGTATGTTGAAATCTCAACTGTATGTAATTGAAGTGAAGAGTGTTAAATAAACTAATCATTGTGAGCTCCAATGAGAAGTACCATCAATGTTTATGTGCCTTAATGAAATTGTCACCTGTCAGATTGTAATTCCTGGAAGTTACATTTACTTGATCTAGAGAAGACAGAAAATCTCCTATATGCATTGAAATTAGTATCATAGCAGCATAATTACCAGTTAATGTAAATAATGAGAGATAATAATTAGTAGGTATAAAATCTCAGGCACGCCCAAATGAAAGAAATATAATTAATTAAAAGATAGCTGGAAAGTAAAGAAATAAAAAAAAATTCTGGTGATTTTTGCCACAATATTGTGTCCTGGGTTCAATTCCTGGCCTAAGACAAATGTGAGAAGGATGTTACCGTAACCAGTGTGACACTACCAAATATTGCAGGTTTTCTCCGGGTATTACGGTTTCCTCCTTTATTAACAATGGACATAACAAGGGTCATAGCAAAGTAACAAAGAACAGACCAGATACCTGTATATATCTTGTACTCTGATAAGTGGCAAAATGAAAAATATCTCTGTACAATAATATAAAAAGCCTATACAGTATATACCACATGATTATGACAGAACTGGAACGAATTTTACTTGGATCAGTACAGTACTGTATAGTTATGTATGATATTACTTGCATACATATCTAATAGGAATTAACTTTTTAGCTAAACATACCTTGGAAGACAAGTGTATCAGCTGACAGTGTGAGGAGCAGGCACCACACTTGTCTCGTGATTCAGCTGGAACAAAAAATACAAAGTTATTAAGGCTCTTGAGTTCATTACAGTAAACAAAACATTTTCTTCCAACATACAGTACAATATAATGGTGTGAAAGACTGGAAGCACAGATACTGCATAGTGATCACAATTTATTACATGAAAGGGGAAAGATGTTTGTGAAATAGTGGAGGTGTGGGGAGAAACTATACTGAGATCTTTCCAATACAGTACTTCTGGAAATCTAATTTTAAATAACAATGTTAATGTAAAAGTGGAGACTCGTTATCACAAAGACTATAATAGTTATATCTCCATTAGCCAGAGTACAGTACAGCACTGTAATTAGTAGAACAGAGCAGTTCCGGGTTTGAGAGATTTCCGGGTATTGAGATGAATTTTCTTATCCCCAGAATATTTCCGGGCACTGGTGAATGTTTCCGCGTCTAAACTATGCATCTCGCATGGAGCACCGCTGCTACAGAGGCTTAACTGCACTCAGAAATTCGTTCGAATGCTTGGAACGGAGAAGTTTTTCTCAGAATTTCTTGGAATGCTCAATTTTTTTTCCCGGTAATGAAAAGTTCCCTGGATTGGAGATTCTGGCTAATGGGAATACTAATCTCCCTATCACCTTCTACAGGAAACAAATTAATTTAATAAATTTTGGTGTGCAATAACCTGTAGCTACTGTAACACATATACCAAGTGTGTGTTGAGATGCAGACATTTATGAAGATACTGTAGACATAGAAGGTAGATGTTGGTTTAATCATCCTATTGTTCATCAAGTCAAGCAAATACATAACTGTACATAAGTAATTATGGTTTTGGTACAGCATCTGATAAAGAAAACAAAGGATGGACCTGATTCAGTATGGGCAAACCAATCTTAACCAAAATTGACCAAACCTTAATAGATGGGTCATAGCATAGGTAATACAGTACATACTGCATTTCAATACAGTACTGTACACAGATATGGGAGCAACTCCTAGATGATTTCTTTACAGCTTATTGAACAATACCTAATGAAACTTGAGTATGTAGGCAAAATTCAATTAATTCTTGAACATATTCCACAGTCCACCAGGTTTGACTACACTTTTTAAACACAGCTCAGTAAGTCTCAGAATTAATCTAATATGTTAACAAAAGGAGGCCAGTAACTACTGATATACCATCTGGTTTGGTTACTCATAAAGATATTTACTTGCCTTGTGCAAGACATAAATCACAGAAGATATGTCCACAGCTGGTAAGAGCAAAGGTTCGTTCCCTTTCATCTCCTGGTTGTCGACAGCAAGAGTTGCAGTTGATCCAGTCCATGGTGTGATCATTAACGTCTTGGTAGAAATATAAAATCTCTGAAAGTAGATTTAGTTTCTTCATTTTTTAATTCATCTGTAATGATTTTGGCAAAGCAAACGGCAAAAACATTATTTACATAATTCCAGTACAATACCAGTATCTCTTACTTCCAATTACAACATAAATTACATATTGACCTTTGCAGTGGAGTGGCTTTACAGCACTCCTGACATTAAGGTTGATAGTTCACACCCAGGCAACCCCAGTTCACCTAGCTGCTAATGGGTGCCTTATTTACAGTTGGGGACTGAAAACAGTTGAATGTATTGCTGGTCACATTAGTACATATTATCCAATTCAGTAAAATGTTGAAAGACTCGATAGTAAATAATTGTACAATAGTAAAAATAACTAAAGTAATCCAATCAGTGACCTTCAGTGGGAAATACATTAAATGTTTTTGTCTAATGTGAATTTATCGACTGTCAATTTGAAATTAGTTACATTTATGTAACAGAGAATTCAGAGACTCTCAGATGCAATGAAGATTGTGACAAGTTGATGTTAACCAGTTCTAGTTAATCTTCTAAAGTGAGAAGCGTCGATGAATGCCCAGTGTTGATAGTCTAACAAGCGACTGTTATGACTGATCCATTGAAAGCTCAAACGCTGATTAGATTATAAGGATTATTCTCAAGAATTTTTTTTTAAATCATTAGAGATGTTACTTGCAATAGAACAATGTGTAAGATGAGTCGGAATAATGTCTCTGTAAATACCTAGTTAGCCCTCTCTGCCAACTACCTTAATGATTTAAGAGGTTTTAATGCTGAAGCCATGTTATGTGAAACATGTCAGAGAATGGTGGCAGAATAGTTACCAGTTAAGAGTAAGTTATGAGATAGAATACGGTAATCACTAAGTAAAATTCTCAGGCGTGCCTAAATGAAGGATATACTGTTTAATTAAATTTATATGAAAAATTTAAACTTTGAAAAAGAAAAAAAATTGCTTGAATTATGCCACAACAGTTACGCTACCTCCTGTGTAATGAAGGTGTTTTATTCTGCGTGCTGTATCCAGTCACACTGCCCCAAGCAGTCTGTCCTGCCTATGAGTCCACTTTCTTTTGTCAATCAAGTACCTTACAAGAAATAATATACATTTTATCTTTGTGAAAGTAATAAAGAATAAAAGTACCAAATTCACAAACCCTCCCATAAAGACTTCAGCAGTGGCTATTTCTGCAACTATTACACCGTGCCTAGAACTGCGATTACATACTGTTTATTATAACTATAACATCATGCGTAGTGTTGCTATTAACTACTAATACACCTACCGGTACATATTACCCTCTACAGTAGTTAGTTCAGCTGCTAGTCTGCTACAATTTCCTTAGATGGTACGGTACGGAGTCTTCAGTTATGAGGTGAAAGAAGATTATTAGGGGTTGAAGGAAAAAAGGTGAAACTGAAATACGTAGTAGAAAGAATCTGGGCTCAACCAGATCGCTTCATCTTTACAAATATTCAAGAACCTGACATAATTGGTAAATATTCTTCCCTCCAATTACGAATTTGGTAATCTAAAATAAAATACCATTAAATTAATGATGTACAGAGTATGTAGCCAATAATTTATAGACAAACGAAAATACGAATACAAGATGCCCACTGGAGGTGAAGTCTTATCTTACCAAGCTTTCTTAGGAATAAATTGCAGCGTAAAGAAGTCTGCTGTTGCATTGACGTCGACAGTAATGTTTTACAGATGTTTCTTGTAGTCAATGCTGAATCAAGGTGCAGGATTGGTGACATTCAACTGTGTTTTCATCTCCGACTAACTTACGTCACTTCTCTCCATCTTTAAATTTCAACTGAGGCTTAACAATGGTGCCAAAGTAACGGTGGACAGAGAAAAGATTTAGCTCTTTTTCACATAAATACGTTTAATTCTGCTTTGAAGTACAGTTTTTCATATATCTGTATGATGTTTATTTTAAATGCAGTTTAATCAGGTTGGGTTCTGTTCATTTAGCACGTGATTTTTTGTATCTCGTTAGATCCTGTTGAGTCGTAAGTTGGCAATAGCTTTTCATCTCTTTTTCTTAGACATCTCATTATTTCTTCTATAGTAGAAAATATATTGAAATTACGTTTAGATAATTAATTTTGTTCATAAGTTCGAGAAATAGTTACTAATATATAATTAATAATCGAAATCACTGACTTTATGAATCCGAAAAATTACAGAACAATTCAAGATTGCCTTTAAAACATTATCGTTGTACTGTGATTATAAAAATATAAAAAATCCATGTATTTTTTAAGTTATACTGATTTGAAAAAAAAACTGTTGGCGGGTAAGTTTAGTTCTCTCTTTGCGGGAGTCTTAGAAATATAAATAGCCTTAAGAAGTGTTCTGTTAACCAAGGAAGTAAGGAAGTTCTTGGTGAGAGTTCAGTTGCTGTATACATTATATGGTCAGACCTAATATAATATTAATCTTCACTCTAGTTTTGTTTAATTATCCCCACGAAAAGTTGAGATATATTAGGTAGCGGCACGTGATATATTTAGCAGTTTAGTTTTCATCTTGCGTAATTTTGAGATAGTATAGTGAGATCTTCTTTATTCTCATTTTCATAACTTACTTTTAATGAATACCTCAGTTTAATCTTAAGGGTGTTTAATATTATTATTTTTGTTAGTATAGCGGAAAGTTAGCGGTATAGGAGGTCTGTTTGGGCAACACTGCTGACCACAACAACAACAGACAGGTGGATCCTCACACTGATTACCTTGATAACACCTGTGAAGCTATTAACAAAAATGTGAAAACCGGAAAAATGTATTCTCTACAAACATTATTTCTGATAATAGTGGTCCTCTACTATATTATCACAAGGTAAGGTGATATAACTCTTAATATTTATGTATTAGGAGGTTCTTCATGCATAACTAACTCTTAAGCCACTGGCCTGCATGACACGCCCATCGACCCACAAAATCCAGGTAGTTACAACAACTTAATATTGAGATTAATTTAAAAAAGTTGTGAAATTCAAGTGTAAATGATACAGTAGGTCAGTACCGAAATTAACATTTTGGGAATTATTCAAATCGTGATTGATACATTAAAAGTTTAATTATGAGTTTGCATATTTATCTGGTAATATGAATACAATATTCATCATTGCATTGTTGTAAATTTCACCCAAATGGTCTTCAGATGATGATAAAAATTAATGTAAATTATATTCATACAGAGGTAATTGGGTGCTACTATAGTGTGAGTCTACAAGATATTTAGGTTAAGTTAGCTTAGGTTAGGGTAGGTTAGGTAAGGTAAACAGAGGTCCATGAACTGTGGATGAAACCCTCTCGGCACCCTTATCGAACATGGTTGAAAATTTTTTGGGAACACAGCTGTATATTGCTGGCTCTGACAGATTCTTTAGTTGCTGTAATCTGCAATTTTACCATTATTTCAAGGGCCCTGGTGTTCAAAAGAAAGAACCCTCTATAAATTATCATACCTGTGTCTGAGGTGAACGTGACCTGAGTTCAGAATATTGCAAACCAACTGAACATTATCACTAGACCACAGAGTCACCCAGTATTTCTGAAATGAATGATTACAGGGGTTGCCTCACATGGTATTGACTTGGCCGTCTCATTATCTTATTTTAACTGACGTAGATGTCTTAACTGATTTACAGAGTGAGTGACTTGTAGTAACCGATCAACCAACAGGCCAAGTATAATAATAATTACGTTACGTTGTTTCCATTTAAAAGTATTTGAATTATGATCTCTTTTTGTCACTCTTTTTTCAGGGGCTTTCCAAGACTTCTCTCATGGCTGATTGTGGCCAAGTACCAGACAGAGATCAAGATAGGAAGAATATCTCTGCTGCGACTCAGTTTTGAGGAGGTCCTTATTAAGAAATCTGGCCTTAGTATTGTAAGTTATCATGAATAAGAGTCAATAGTTTTGAAAAGTGTTTTTTTTTTAGTTTTGTGTACACTAACAGCTGTAAATAGTTTATATTTTATTGAAAATAATATCATAAATGCTAATTAGATTTTTTGTTTGGTTACTGAGTGCTCTACAGTGTACAGTACTGTACAATGTTACAGTAAACTCACAATTATTTGCCTGATTAGTATTTGCAGATTGATTATCCATGGCAAAAAGGTACTGGTAACCCTTTTATTTTCCCTACGTATTACAATTATCAATTACCTGTGGCTTGGATTACCTTTGGCTTACTCAGGAAGTAATTGGGAATCATCATTTTTATTTTTATTGGTTTTGAAATGAGGTAATGTAGAGTTTATTTATTTTAATTTTGTCTTTTTGTATTACAGTATTTAGTGTCGGAAGAGTAAAACATTTATGCTTTTCAGAAAGTTGATAGGGTTGGTGCTACTAGCAGCCTTTTTAACCAAGAGGAAAGAAAAATATTTGCTATTAAGGTGCATGATGTTCGTATTGAAAAGGAGGTAAGTTATATAGATACAGTATATTCGTGTGTAACTTTATTGACTTCTGCCTACCGTTATGTGGGAGAGTTTTGCCTATGACAGTTGGTTATATTGAGGTCATTGTGGAAGATCCCATACTGTACAATAATGCCAGTGTGTGTGTGTGTGTGTGTGTATAACTGTCTCGTTTCATTTGCTCTGTATGATCAATGTGTCTTAAAGTTTCTGTTCAGTTTAAAACCGAATACCCGTAAATTTAGAGCTACTACTGTGCTTATGCTGTACCCACGTGTCTATGGAGGAGATTTCAGTTATTTTTAAAGATTTTATATGTTAAAGGTTGCTATTTATGTTATGGCCATAAGCGGTAGTCAAGTGGGTAAAGTTCTAGTCCTTTGTCCAAAAGTTTACTGGTTCATACCCTGGGCACCCCCAGTGGAAGCATTTGAGTGCAATTATGGCTACTCTGCTTTTTCTGCATACTGAAGTCTTGGTATACAGTGTGTTTCCACATTACCGCTAATGGGCTGTGAGGCCTATGAGACCCATTTTCCCGTGATATCGCCTATCTAAATGAGTTTGCCGTATCCAAAATCTTTGTCTATTTAGTGTATGAGATCATTAGGAAGTCTTTGCTTGGATTACCTACTGTATCCTGTATTAATTTTTATTGTATTGTTTTGAGGTGTGTGATAAACGGGGCAAAGGAGCTCAAGCTGAAGCTGGAAGTATGGAGGCCATGTTTGCTGCTGCATCCACATCAAATTCAGCTTCACAGCTTGAACCAGAAGTTATTAAACTCAGAATCTCACCATCCGTCGTGACTCTTGCACAGGTAAATTGTAATGAAGATTGCCTTAAGGATTATATAATATAGAGAAAATCAATTAAGGCAGCAGAAATATATTAATGTTGAAAGTTTTAAAAATCACATATTACCGTAATATCTTCTTCAGTTCTTTGGGATGCACATTATGAGTGTGAGTGTGATGTATCTACGGGAGAAGTGGCCCGAGTGTCTCCTTCATGCTTCAGCAGAGAAGATCACCGTGGAGGGAGCTACATTAAACCAGTCTAATATTGCTGTAAGTGCTGTATATTGATTTGAGTACAGTACCTGTATTTCCTCGTATTCCGAACTCTCAATACCTCTTAGAATTAATGGATACAGTGGGTACAGTGGCCGGATATTAACCCACTCGTGTGATTCTAATGACATTAAATTGAACAGGTCAGACACACTGCTATATGTAAGCTGGGCTCTATAATAGTAATTGATATATTTTTGATCTGCCCAATTTTGCAAGACCCATCCTGCAGTGTCCCAGGAGGAGGTCTACAGGGTGATGGTTTACTTGTGTGATATATGAACCAGAATGCTAAAAGCCATTAGAATGATTAAATGCATCTTGAATATCAGCCATGTTTGTTCAGCTGCAAAACTTGTCAAATTATCTTGTTGGATTTTCTCAGAGGATGGCTTTCTGTTGTAGCCCAATTGGATCTTATTTTTGTTTTTTTGTTTTTTTTATATATATATATTTGTTTACTACTTCTCTTCATAAAGTCTCTCTTAAGCATGGAAAACAGAAGCAAAAAAGAGGCCAAAGAAACAGTGTGTTAAGTTTGCTTTTTTTGTGTACTGTGCCACAATATCTTGCTTTTTAGTTCATTGAAACTTCTATGTATGGGATATATCACGTTTTTGAAAATTGTCTGTGACCAATGCATAGAGAAAATATCTTCAAGAGTTTTATTTTATTTTATGCATGACCTTCATCTAGATCTAGTTCAGTAAGGGCTACACGAGTCTGGTGAGGATTATTACAATATTGTGTTAATGCTTTTATTTGTAATTAAGAGTTAGAATATTCATTTCTCTTGATATTGTTCAGTAAAAAACTTCCCTATTATTATTATGTCTTATTTGACAGGTTCAGATTTACTTATGTGGAGGAGATATAGCCCATACCCTGAATAGGTGTTGTGAATATATTTACTGTATAGCAGATTTCCCATCTACTTTATGTGTAGTCCCAGTGTTCATACTATACTATCAATATCTGTGTTGCCCACCTATTTGTTTACTTGTTGTATTCTTCTGAGTCATCCAGATGTCACTAGTAATACAAGCTTCAGATGTCTCTTTATAACAATAATTTTGAAAATGCACCTTTTTTTGGGGGGGGGGTGCTAAAATATATGTACTTTGTGAGGAAACTTTACAACCTGGTGACTTATATTTGGTGTTTTAAATACTAACTCTCCTCTCTGAACTCTGTATATGGGATGGATCCTAATAAGTAAAGACTTGTATGTGGCAGCTTTAAGTACACTGTCCCTGTGTAAGTCAAAAGTTACATACAGTAAGAATATTTTTTTTCTGGAGACTGTTTTCATGCTTCCAAACCTAACCCACTAGAAACTTACGATACTCTGGGATACAAAGGATGTGTTCTTCATGACAGTATTCCCATCCAGATGTGTTTTGTTCAGTAAAGTAAAGCAGAAAATGTGTGAAAATTTATTTTGCTAATTGTGCTAATTTGGTCACCATGTTTATGCATGTCTAATAACAGCTCTTGAATTTTTCCCACATGGGGTGATAGAGTTTGCATGTTGCTGATCTTGCTCTTCTCTTTCATGCTTCTTCCTGCCACAGGACTTCAGTCCCTCCTACATATATGTAAGAGACAACATTGTGGGATGGAAGTAGTCTCTGTATATCTATATACTGTATATGGTATTTGATAATTTTCTGTGTGATAGTTCCTCCTTTTCTTCACAGGTTTTTGTTTCCTTTGACCCACCTGACACACAGAGGAGCCAAGGATAGATAATAGATAGATATTTTATTGCCTTATGCCTGGCTTGGGCAACACATATATGTACAATAGTCGTCACTTTTAAGGGTTGAAAGCCCCTAAACATAACCGGTCATAATAATGGAACTAATCCAACACATAATTCATGCTTTCATGTCATATCTGGGTATCTGAAAAGAAACATGATAGATGTAGCAATTACCACTATAGGCTGACAGCTGTGAATCTCATTGTCACACTAATATGGTGTGCTTCACGACCCTCATTATTCTGCTCCAAATTGCTGTTTCTGGGTCAGCCCCCATATTTCCAGTCATTCAAGTGAGTTACATGAACATCTCCAGGGTAACTGTCCTCCTGCGAGAGATTTAGATTCTTTGTATTATAATTTCATATTTTTTATCAAGTGATGGAATCCACAAAACAGAACATTCCAGGTTGAGACGGGTTTTTAAAGATGTTTAATTGGATGACTAGGTGAGAGATGGTGCTCAGTCTTTTGTATTTCCATGAATTTGCATAATATGTTAACAGATAGTCTCTAGTGCTTGAAACACTACAAAGTCAAGACCCAAAAATAAAAAGAAGTACTGCACTTCAATAAAAGACAACAAAAAGTGACAGTTCAACTTCTATCATTCAATTATCCTTAAGTTTTGATACATATAGGCAGGCCTCAGTGTTGAGTGAGGTTCTGAATCTGAAAACCATGACTTCAATCAAAACAATGCTACTTAAAAATGACAATCTCATTGGCCTAGTGTTATAAGGAGGGGTTACACGTATGAGTTGTTTTCACTGCTGTTCTTTATTTTCTTCCACGACTAAATTTTACTGTTTCTTTGGAAATTATACAAAACTTTTATTTCATCAAGTACTGCTGTAAACACAATGCTGTGGTTATCAATAGTGCATACATTTATAACTGTATATCTTAATATTGTATTTGAAGTGTTATTTTATGTTGGTTTTATTTTATTAAGTCATTATTGTTTGAAAGTCATGAATTAATGGTATACATTGGTAAGGGGCAGTAGAGTATACAGTGTAGACTATAGAACACATTATTTTATTGTATTTAAATTGTACTTGTTGTTTAACGTACAGAAGTTTTGATTTATGCGTCTATTATGTCAGTAGGTATAATGGAAGCCACATGAGAAATATTAGAGCTTGTCCATTGCAGATAAGCTGAAATTACTGAAACAACCCTCTATCTCAACATAATGTCCACATTTGTCTATTAAATTTGGATGCTTTGGGTAATTCAACAAGGTTAGAGCCCCAACATTGTCAAATTAGAGGGTTCAAGTGTCTACAGTATACCTGTGAACTAAATACAACATACTATATGGTATGTTTGTATATTTTACAGTGTATATAATTATATTTGTGTTTTATCCTGATGTTGGTAATTTTTTTATGGTTTTATATATCTTAGTAGTTTTACTGATGAATTGGGTAGGTTATACAGTAATTTTTAAATCATGAAATTTGGAATATCCAAATAGCTCATGCAGTATTTGATGCTTGAACTGTGAGGCCTTTACTCAGCATTTATTATTCTGAAGTTTAGGATAAAAAATTTTAATATCATTGTCTCCACCTCACCTGTAGCTGAAAGTAAGTGTAAGTGGAGCCCACCTCAAGGTACTTCAGCATGTAGGAGGAGATGAGAAGAAAGCAGCAGCATCTGGTGGAATTTCTGGCCCTGGTCAAGATCCATCACTTGTGGAGTGTGCGGTGTCACTCAAGCTGTCTGTTGAGGCTAATGCTGAAACTGTAGCTGCCATGGAAGTAAGAACATTTGTTATTAGGTTTTAGGGGTTTATTCTGGAAAAAATAAGTTAGGCCTCCAGTATGGACTCCCCAGGAATAGTTTTACAGCTGATCAAGTTTTGAGTTTATCCTATTATCACAGCAACTTACTTCATGATATTGTAGATATGTTTTGTCTATAATTTGAGACTTGAATGTGCTGCATCGATTTATCAGGAATAGTTTTGAAGTTGAATAATATTTAGTGTCTTCTAACTGTGTGTTTACCTAATATCAAGCTGGGATACTAATATGGCTGCTTTCAGTCACACTACACATCTTATTGGGACATATTTTTTTCATTACAGAACATCTCTATGCAGTTGAATCAACCGCAGGTTACTATACGGGAGCGATTGTTTACATTCCTAGAACACAAGGCACTTGCTGCTACACCTGTCGTCAGCCCTACACATACTTCTTCCACCAATAAGCCATCAATGCAGGTGTTGCTTCATAGATATTGGCTGTTTCTTCCCTTGGTAAGTAAAGCTTGTGTTTATGGAAACCTTTGTTGATCAGCTTTTTATACAAGAGTTATTCCATTGTTTCAGAGTTGTAGTGCTCATTAGATTGTGATTATTTGGAACAATTAAATATAGAGTCTACCTCTACCATGTATTCTTTATGTTATTATTTTTTTCCCCAACAGAAATTTCAGGTGAAAGTAGAAGACATTGGTGTGAAATTTGTGAATAGTCTTGGTCAGATGGCCCTACAAGGATCCCTAGCTGGTATTGACCTCCAGACTCACCTTAACCGTGAGGGAGCATTAGGTAAATGATAGTAAAGTTCATTTATTTACGAGTACACACACACACACACACACACACATATTGTCCAGAATTGTGGCATTTGTTATATATTTTTAAATTATGTAGTGTTGACTCTTTCTTAGCTGGTGACTTGACTAATGTTTGTTTTAGACACTTGTAAACTATCTATCATTTGCACTCCTCTCATAAAACAACAACTCATTACCTCTCGACAATTTGTGGCTAGTTGAGATATACAGTACTGTACTATTAATTTGTATTATTTACTAGAGAACTTGCCAGCCCTTCTACCAGACTTCAGCACAGAGTTACAGGTGGATAACACAAGAGTCCAGTATACTCATGACTCTTCAGTTTCTCTCAATAGATTTAACTTACAGACTCAGGTAAGTGCAGATTTTCACTTGATGTTTATCTCTGAATTATGCGGTTATGTTTGTGTAAATATTGTGTACACTGATGATGAAACTCATGATTGGAATGGTGTATTACTACCCTGTATATGTTGTATGGTATTTAAGACTCATATAAAAATTTATTATACTCATGTTCTCTCGGCCTTCTCTTGAAACTTGTTATATCCCGGTAGTTTTCTTGTGATCAAATAATCCCATTGATTTGTTTCCAGTTTGTTGGCGATCGAGTCAATATGAAGAGTGAATTCAGATCCCTCCACATATCTTACGACCACCGTGATCTAGGTGTCTGGACCACCTACATGTCCCGACGGAAATCTCTACCTCATGTACAGAGTTATGTGAGTATACTGTACTGTACTGGGCAGAGTATATGACCTGGGTGGAACTGAATATCTTAAGTAAAATGTTTTTCACTCATCCATTGTATTTCTCTTTAATATATGGAAACAAAATTGAATGGTTAAGATGAATCATTTATGTTTTTACAGGTTTATTTGGAAGATTTTGATAATATGATGTGTGTGAGTTATTGTTGAGCTTAATTTATTTATATATTTTTTATACATTTTTTTTAGGGTGCAGAACCAGGAAGCAGAGGGAAGACTGCAGCTTGGAAGACTCTGCTGCACCGGTATTGTGTTGGTATGATTGTGGAAATGTGGGATGTTAGTTGTGGAGGATCAATGCCTGGATCCTCATCTGGTCAGACTACCCTCCAACACGCACGTTACTGTGTTGCAGTGTCTCAGTGGACTACACAAGTTGCTGGTGAATTAATTCTAGAATCTTTAGTGGCCACTCTTGGACAAGTTCGGCATAGTGTTGCACCGACAGTATCATCAGTAGCAGCTGCTGCAGCCCCCAAAAGAGTTCATATGTGGGGAACACCAGCCTGTATTGGCCTTTGTCTTGTCCAGCTCTCCTCGATGCCTCCTCCTAGTGGCAGGAGTAGTAATTTCTTGCCTCCCCTCCAAGCTGAAGCACTAGTTGATAATATGCAACTAGAATGGAGTCCTGAATTAGGTTCATTCATCACATCTCTTGTTAGGTATGATGTTTTATAGCAAGTCTCACATAACTTAGATTAGAAGAACAAATTTTAAGTATATGTTTTTGGTGATAAGATTTCAAATATGAAAAGATTATTATAAGGCAAAAATTGGACCATGCAAGTTCATTTATGTTAAGATATTCATTAATTTCACAGATATTCACAGGAGCTTAAACACTCCTCTAGAACCATTAAACCTCATAAGGTGCCGGATGAAGCAAATCCAGCCTCAGGAGAGACCTTCAACAGTATTAGTGTTAACTGCACCAACATCAACATATTTGCTGTAACAGAACAAAAGGGTGAGTTACATTACACAGTAGCCATCAGCTTTGACTAGATACGTACAGTACATATGTTCTTCTCTAAAAGTTTGGCACAGTTCAGAGAAATAGCGACAGTGTACTTTTATATATTATAAACATACTTGCCTATATAATGTTCAGTGGAGAATATATAAAACAGCAAATAAAAGGAAAACCAAAACAGAAGGTAGAAGGATTAGGTGAAGGATGTGATAGAAGTGAGTGGGACTGTCCTCATGGAAGCAATATTTTGTGTGAAAGATTGAAGAGCTGTTGCTTGGTAGGTGCTGTTAGATTGTGGCAGTGGTTAAGGTTATGTTTTCTGTTAATGTATTCCAGTTTCCTTGATGGCACGAGTTGATAGTCTAGAGAGCCAGAAGACAGCCAAGAATTCTAAAACAACAATAGTAGGAACCAAGCTACTTCGGTTTGTTCCATCAGGCAGTCAGTACACATGTATTAAGTCCTCAGAGATTAAGGTAAATTCATGTATTCATTGATTACTCTGAAATTTTCTATATTTTATATATCAGTAATGTACAGTATATAGTAATACTGCATGTATACATATTGTAATTAGGACAACATTCAAATTAGTGCAAGGTATTAAACAGTAAAACTCAGATATACATTCATGAAAATTTTTTGGATATAGTTTTATATTTTCAGACATCATTACATTAACATTTTGTCTCTGTAAACTAATTTATTTATAGATAATAACTTGTCCAGCACATTATACCTTCACCAAACTCTGCTGTAAAGTTAGTAATTGGGTTACAAAGAGACATATCATTTTATCAATTTTGGGATCTGTTAATTGGTGGTTTGAGAAATCTTGTCTGGCATATCTCTTTAAAGCTTTATAAATAACAGTTGTTACCTTCCTACTACTTGTCAGTATCAACAGACTTGTTTTACAGGGTGAGTGTGGACAAGTAAGTGAGGTTGTCTTGGAAGTTGTGAATGGAGAAGTGTTGATTAATGTAAGTAATCAGCTGCACCTGACCTGGTCCACCACAACACACATGACTCTCCTAACATTAGCCCAAGAATTGGCTGCTTTTCACAGGGATGTCAAGCCAGTGTCAGGTAGGCAGCAGAAAGAATAATTTTTGTTTAAGGTTTAAGTTCAAAGCATAAGTGATATTCATAGTTTGAAAATAAAATGCTCTCAATGTACTGATATTAAGAGATAGATGCAACCACCAAAATACTCAATACTTATGGATCTTATACAAAAGATATTGTTTGATGTGGTGTACATTAAAGATTCGTACATCAATATAGTCGGCATAATTTTCATTAACAGTGTCGGAAAAGGAGCAAGGACCTGGAGAAGCAGCTGTTAAGGATGAAGCTGAAGAACAAACGGGACTACAGCTTCAGTTGATTGCCAGAGGAGACATTAGAGTTGGGGCTGAGCTGTCAAAACGTCACCAGATGTACTTTATTCTGGGTAAGGATTAGAACTTTACAAAAGATGGTGTTTTTTTATAAAGGGGGAATCATCTTGGACAGAATTTGCTCCAAACTTCTTGGTCAAAGTAAACTTATATACTTTGTAATTAGTAAAATAAACACTTACATAAGATAATTTTTCAGTTATGTGTGCATTTATGTTCCCAGATCTGTACAGCATTATACTTAACTTGTGGGAAATGGATTTTTATAGCCTTTGTTTTGACAATTTTCTTTTAGTTATTGGTTGTCATTTTTTCTTGTTCTCTCAGGTGAGATAACTTACCTGATGGCCAGTGGAAGAATATCTTGTCATTCAGAGGAACTCCAGGTATGTAAATAATTCATGAATTATCCTGAAATTTTGAAAAATATTACATATGATATTTGTTTAGATTGCCCACATCAAGATATATTTGTTTATGAAAAGAGTAAAGAAAATAATTATATGCTAGATTATTAGACTATGTTTTTGAGCCAGAGTTACTGGTGATAACTTTGGCCTCATGTTCTTTGATGCCACAACTTTTATTTAACCTCAGTCCTTACAGTAGATTTTTTATAGTGTTCATTTAATTTATTTTTTAATAGTGAACTGGATATTTTTATTTTTTTTAGATCCATTTTGATGAACACAAGGTGATGACTCTAACAGGCGGCAAACTCTCCCGAGCCCTCCAGTCCAGAGAAGTGCGGGAAGAGAGAGAGTCAATGTCTGAATTGAGTCAGAAACAGAATAAGGCATGGTAGGTTCATCAAGAGTAGGATAACATAGTAGTGAAATTAATTAAGACAAAATAAGGCTTATTTGTTGACCTTAACCCCTTTGCTCAGAGGGACCAATATGGTCACCAAACACCATATCAGGGGGGGTGGGTGCTGGACAAGATTTTGAATTTATCTCTTCAATAAGAATATATATTTTTACCTATTTCCTTATGTTTGCATGAATGTGCCTATACTGTATATATGCTATGTACATAATGTTAAAGTAATGTCTGATTTCTTGACAGGAAATTAACGGTGGACACGTGGAAGCTAACTTTTCCGTATGAGTACAATTTTGCTGAAGCTTTCAGTGATGATCTCCTGTCTGTGGTCAAGTGGATTAAGTTGGTACACAACCATCGTCCTAAAGCCTTCACTGCCACCAGCCCACTGCCGCCTGATGTTGTCATAAGGGTAAAGCAATGTTGAACATGATAAACATGTTGGTTTTGGAGTTGACCAGATAATGCTCAATTACACCATAGCATAACATATCAGTTTACAGTAGTTTGAGAATAATTGGCAGCAAATAAGGGAGTGTGTTTATATGCCATGGGTTCAAGTCACTCTTCACTATAGTAGTAATGGGCTCACAAGAAAAAAACCCTATGCTGTACTGTACTCAGTAATTACTTTACAGTATCATGTATAGATTTCCCTTAGCACATGCAGAAACTTTCCCAGCATTGAAGTTATTGACTGTTTCCCCTCACTTGGTTGTCAGTTTTAATACTGTACATTTTTAAATTAAGTCTCTGGTTAATCTTGCTTAAAATTGTGAGGTCCATATTTTTGTGTAAATGAGTTAATTTTTACATATTTGGTCCATTCTGGCTTTTTAAATCCTTACTTTAATGCATCATGTGACAGGTACGGCATTGGTTGATGGAGATTGGCGATGATCCATTTGAGGTGAAGCTGCGGTACAACTATGAACTACTGGAGGATGAGTACAAGGAGAGTTGTAAACGGCTCAAAACCTTGGACAGCAGGGTTAGTTCTCTAAGTTGTCTCCCTCTGTTAGTATCCAGATGTATTCAGATTTGCTTGTTTCGTTGTAATGCCAGTTGGTGTCTTGTGGCATTAAGCAACTCGTAGATTTCAATATTAAATGTATGGTTTGTAAGTATTGGTCTGCCATATATCTCCACGTGTCAGACATCAATATACAGTACTTTGTTTTTGTGGTGTAGCTGTGCCATCTTTTGGTCTTCCATTAACCCTTCTTATCAATGTAATTTTATTCCCTTTGTTCATCCTACCCAATTAATTCATCATCCAGTTGTACAATACAAAATTAATTGCATTTTTTCTCATACATTTTTATCTGCATCACCTAAGAATTAAAGAAACTTCCCTATTCATGTTTTACCTGAACCAGCAGCTCTAGGCACCACAGTCGGTGGAAAACTGATTACAGTAACTGTCTGACTCTCTCTTTTAATGGTGGAGAAAAGATGGTGTCTCTTTGGTAGGCTGCTACATCCTGCCAATTACACTTAAGACCTTCTTAGATTAACCACTTGGGTACGGGCTCTCCTCTGTGCTGAATAATATCATCTCTCGATAACCAAATAAAATAATAAGTGTCAGTCCCATAGTGAAGGGGTTAAAGTGAACTGATTTCAACCAACCTTAGTTGCCACTTTCTCACTTATGAAGGAAAATTTATTTCTAATTTGACCTCATACAACATTGTGTAAGTTGCCTCATACATGTTCTCTCAGTGTAACATTTGTGGTCCTGTAGTTATTAATACTATGTTCCTGTTTTGATTCTTCTATGATCATTACTGCTATAATCATTGCTGCTTCCATCCTATTCTTCAGGATATCTATAATCACTTACACATGCTAACTTCAATTATTATGATTAAAAAACATTCACACCAAAATTCCTTCTTCCCCCTTTCTTATGCAGATAGAAGAGCTACGCAAGACCATGTTCCTCTTTCCAACTGGGAAAATTGATGAACTCTACAAAAACTTACAAGAAAAGAACAGTGAGATGTACATTAAACGCTCCAAGTTGGTAAGTGCTGAAAATACCTCATATCCAATCTTGATAAAATAACTTGAAAGAGAGCCAAACAATATCTCAAATTTTTATTTATAAGGAATACATTGAAAGTATTTAAATATCCCTTTCATGCAATATTCTTTCCATGTTAAATTGCACTTTGTCGTACTCTTTGTTTTCTGGAACATTTAATTCCCCTTGGTGTGTGTATCTGTCCCTGTGAATATCATTTATCTTTGCATTTTGGTAAAGTTAGTCTCAGAAGTTCTGTATATACCTTCTAGGTTTGCCATGAATATTTGTTGAAACTGTAAATCATGTTAACCAAAACTATATACGACTTCTCCCAAAATATGATGTTTTTATACACACACACAAAAAAGATGCATCTTATGGTTGGGAAACATTTGACATCTCATATAAAACAACTTAATCTGTCGTGTAGCAATAGTATTAATGATGCTCTGAAGACAAGGCACAGGATCATTAAATTAACCTTTCAGCAGAATTTGAACCATTGAAGAATGAATTGGTTCTCTTCTTATTAGATGTATGAATCGGCCCCAATGCGAACTCAGCTGTTTACTTGGACTATGGAAGATGTCGTTATCTTTGCTATGGCTGACCCAACTTTCCATGGTACAAGCAGAGTGCTGCAGCACATGATCGATATAGACCCTGAATCGTGAGTATATTTTAGATGTGTATAATGATGTTTATTTAAGGTATGCAAAATTAAATTAAAAACCATTATGGTAACATGAGAAGAATCACAGTTTCCTCATCTCCATCATTGTTAAAAGGATATACAAAATAGTGCAGGTTGAATGTTAGTTTTGTAAAGGTAACATATCTAAGGAGACTTATTTTAAGCTACAGGCAGAAAGATAAAACTAGTAAGCATATACTGTATAAGTGTATATACCCTATTCACTTACGGTTATAAAATTCATCTTGAGGAGAAAAAGAAAATACATTATATGAAAAGAAAATTAGTAGTTATAAGAGAATAAACACAATATATTATGTAGTTGCTGGAGTGACATTTTGAAAACATTTTATGGAGCTTTGTAATCATTCTATATTTTAATTTTTTAGACCATGGCCGGAAGAAGAACAACAAGAGTTTTCCACTTTATGGTGCCGGATGGTGTCTGCATCATGTGCCGAATGGAAGTTCAGGTTACGTGATTATCCTCAGTCTCTTTTATACATGAAGGACTTGGAGCTCTGGGGCCGATTTATTGGTGCTGAGCAGAAGGCCAGTAAAAGAGGTAATGAAAGAAAGAGGGAGAAGTAAGAGATATGTGATAGAAGTACTTCAGATTGGAGTACTAACAGTCTAGAGATCCCAGTCTTCCTATACAGTATGTGAAAAAGTGATGGCTCTTTAGGGACTCTTTATACTAAACTTTTAAAACACACTAACCAACATGTCCACTTTCTAAACCATAAAATTGGATACCCATTGAGAGTGATACATATAATTGGTTGTTACAGCTTTTTAACCATTACCTGTACATCTTTTGACAATATTGAATGTGGAATTATATCTTTGTCAGAGAAATGAGCCTATTAAATAGATATCGTATACAAGTATGATTATTAATGTATAGTAAGGTAATGTATAATGATTTTTTCAGCAATAAGAAATGTGAAAGTTGAAGTAGGAGCCCCGTGGTCAGACGTTACAGTGGAAAGGACTATGTCGGCTCTCAAGTTTTACCACGACTTTTCCTGTGAAGTCAAAACATTTACAGCAGCTTATGGACCGTGCTGGGAACCTGCTGTTGCTCAGTTTAACATTGGTAAGACTGATTATTATGGAAGCTGAAGGAATAAAATGGAAAATTGGCAATGAACTGTGAAATGTAAACGATGCTCAAAAGTATTTGAAGAATTGGACCCAACTTATTTGTTAATAATAATGTATAACTTGGTATTATTGCAGCATTATCCCTGATCAACCAACCATCCCATGACCCTTCTACGCCTCTTCCATGGTGGGATAAGATGCGACTCCTCTTCCATGGACGACTGACGCTCATGGTAGAGCGCATGACTTTGCTGCTTCATGCTTCCTTAGACCCTTATAACACTACAGAAGAGATGGAACTCACTTGGATGAATTTAACTATGGACTGGAGTAATGGTGTGTTGCCCATGTATCAGTAAATATACTTTGATGGCACCTTAGTGGGAGCCATACAGACAAGTCATCCAGACCAAACCCTGGTGCTGGCTGTTCAAACTGTGACCAGACACCTGTTTTAGTGGATAGATCTAAAGTTAATAATGTTCTTAGTTATTTTGACTTTTTAATCATTTAAATTTTCTGAATAAGGTTTTAATAATGGACAGTCTTCACCATATAGTCCTTAAGTATTTTACACACACATGCACAATCTGTGATGTACCCTGTGTGAACTATCTGTAGACTAGTTACATCAAATTCGGTGCATTTCATGTGACAAGCCCAATAGTGACTGTTTCACCTGATCATATACACTGATGTGCCATCATAGAGCTGCTGTAAAGTCAACATGGAACATGATGACACTTATAACAGAAAAGAAAAGCACAAAAACTGATTCTGTTCAAATACTCACATAACTTCTACTTCCTTTGATTAATTTATTTCTTGAGAAATCATTAGAATTCTCTCTCCTGGTCATGAACAAAGACCAAGGTTTTAACATGCCTGCATCATTTTTTGTCCCACATCTTTCTCATCATCTTTATTACCAGGGAATCCAAGTACTCTAGGCTTATTACTCTTACTGTTGATTACAATAATGAAGTTCGCAAAATATTTTAAATATTGAATAATTTTACTTTCATCATCAGTTTTTACACTATGCTTATAAGTCTAGTTATGCAGTACTTTAGATTCATAGCTGATATGGATATATTATTTGATCAAAAGTATTATTTAAAAAATCAAATACTATACTACAGATGTTGTATATACTAAGAATGATTTTGTTTGTGTTACAGCAAAGTTGATTTTTAAGGGGGAATTAAATGTGTATGTACGAACGGCATCTAAATATGATGACGCCAGGCTCATTCATCTGCCCAACCTGAAGGTAACTCATAATTGATTTTATACATTTAATACATTGTTTTATGATTGAACTACATTCTTTAAGTAATTGCGTAAAGGTATTATAATTGTAATGAATTTGGTTTTGATTTCATCTAAAAGAGTTTATCTTTTAGCCAAGCTTTGTTTCAACCTGCTCTCATTTACTCAATCTTTGTTGGTACTTTCCCTGCTCACATTGAGATGTTAATATTACTGTTATAGTATTATTTTTACTCTCTAGTTAACTGTCAAGATGAATTGGCAATGTCATGGTAACCCAAACGACCACCACTCAGTCATGCTCTGCGCGCCAGATAAACTTCCAGAATATTCAAGCAATCAGGTACTGTTTTCCTACTACCAGTTGTTAGTTTATGTAAGTCTTAAGAAACTGTGAAGGGGTTTACAAGAATAAAAAGTATATTTCAGTACAGGTATTAAGATACTATATAACCTTGAGAATTTTTACAGGAACATGATTCATACAGAGCATTTCGTTCTCAACATTTGAATATGAACATTGGACTTGAAACGAGAACCCTGAAGAAGAATAATACCGTTATTACTTCGGTCATTGAAGCTCTGTTTTATGGGAGCACTTTAAGGTAAGCCAGTAATTGTAACTGTTTCTTGGTACTATATCATTTACATCTCATTATTCATTGCTTCCTCCTGTCAATATCTTCTTTTTTCATTATTTATTCTTATTCTTACATACAGTATACTTGATTATGGTACTGAACAGAAAATCTCCATAATAATGCACTGATGCAGGACTCACAATTTAGTCCTTATCCTCATCATTGTGTCAGTACATCATGCTGTGAACTAGTGTTACTGTACTGAATTAGTCATGAAATATTAGATACATGAGATATTGATAGATTAACATTGAATTAGAGGTAAGCTTATGGTCATTAGTAATTACACTGCTTTTGTAACTGATTTGATAACAGTTTATATGTAATGTTTCCTCCAGGTGGTTCGAAAATCTCAAGTTTATTCTGTCTGGCGTGGCTCGTCCCACACGTCGTGGCCCTCTCTTCAACACCAACAAAGCACGCAAGCCTCAACTCTCCCGACACTACAATACAATGCATCTGTCAATTTCTTTCCAGGTGAGAATGATATGTAAGAGCCAAGTATAAGAAAATAAGATAAAATATTTTTATTTATCATTGAAGATGTTAATATCACCTAAGTACACGAAAACTAACCATTTTCTAACCGTGCAGAGGTTCGATGTGAGGTACTGGATGTCCGTTGGTGTTAAAAAGGGATTTCATCTCAGTGGGGAGCGACTTATTCTCAGCTCAGGTTAGTATTTTTCATTAGATTTACATAGTACAGTATACCTTTGGTTAAGTTTTATTTCAATAATTCTTTTACTTCAATTTTTATTCCTATCCATGATTAGTGATTGTTTCTTGATCTGCTGTACCCTGTTTACCCTGTTACTCTTCACCTTCTGTAGTCTCAGCCTCACTGTGCTCTTCTTCAGTATATTCTAGTCAGTACTGCCTTGTACATAATCTCCATTCACTCAGATCATCACAGAATTAGATGTTATTTAAGCCAAGCTGGCCAGTCTGGGCTAATTCCCTGGGATTTAACAAAAAACATAATATTTATTCAGACTTATTATGCTCAATTAAAATGAGGTAGATCCTGCCATATGTTTTAAATACCAGTAGATTTATTAAGAAATTTGTTATATGTTCCATTGTTATTCCTTTCCTTATATACCTTGCACTATGGGTAGGTTGTGTTAGCTAGCTCTTGGAAATCTATTCTTTACTGATTGACTGACTGAGAGCATTATTGAATAACTTAAACTAATGCAGGTTATGAGGTGTTATAAGTTCTTCTTCCGTGTATTTCCAGAGCACAATCTGTCGTTAATACCTGTGAATGATGGGCTTCGACATCGTCCTCGCAGTTGTTGGAATATAGTGTTCTTGAACTCTGAGCTTGGTCATGCTCAGATTTGGCTACAGAGTGTCTTGAAGGACTACACGTGCTTCCCAAATGATGATGAGGAAGAAGAAGAAGAACAACTGGTAATATAACTTCTGCTACAAGAAATAATAGACTGTAATTCTATTATTTTTATTAATATTTTTTTAATGACTGATGTATGGAAGAGCACAAATGTTTTACCACTGTGTAATTGTTTTTAGCCTTGTGTATTTGTGGATCTATCTTTTGTTTAGATTCACTGCCCGGTAATTTGCCATAAAAAATGTGTGCACTTTCATATCTCTCAACCATACCAAAGTTTATGTTGAAGAGAATTCATATGTATATATAAATGCTTCTCAGGAACCACTCGCTCAGTCAGTTGAAAAGTTCTACTTCTTGAATGTGAGTAATGTGGCTTACATGCGTGAGACCCTCAACCCAACTCCGTCCGGCACAAGCCATGACCCAAGCCAACGTGATACCCCGGATCACCGTCTCGTGGTGTACGGCCTTAAGGTATTGTTTATTTATTATCTTTGTTTTTTGTCTATATTTTAGGCTTAAATTAATATTCAAAATTATGGTCTAAACAGGAAATTAGTCATGTGCTTAAAAGTTGATTGAATCTACTTTACTATGAGGAGTCCCTTTACATTTGTTGTGATGTGTTTTCTTTTATACAACATACTTTATTCGTCTAGGTTCAGTCTTTTCAATACAGTATACTGTATGCAAATTTTAATTTAGAATTTTCCTATAGAGTAGTTTCATCTGGAAATAGCGACTTACCTTCCCCTTGCATCTCCAATCCCTGTTTCTTTACACAGTACAATAGTGTACATTCACTGTTTCAGGGTGTGTGGACGACTAATAACCGTGACATTGTATTAGCTCTCTATGACTCCTGGACCAAATCACAACAGTTGCGTCGTAACCTCACCCCTGATATAATCAAGAGCTACAACCGTGAGGCTTCCACTCCACAGAAGCCTAGAAGTCGGTCCCTCACTGACACCAATGCTTCCCAGAGCCTTACATCACCCACTGCCTCATTACAGGTATTCCACTGATTTCTCACAAACATCAGTATTATTTTTCAGTCCTTCAAGTTGGTTTCATTTGATATACACCTAATGAGCCAGGCAAATGCTTGAGTTTGACTTGTTTCATTAGACAGTATGAAATCTCTCAACACATTGCTGAATTTTACCAGCATGGGTATTGCTTTCCGTCATTGTAATCGTTTATTTTACCTGTATTATAAACCATCATTTTTATGTTTTATTCACCATTGCAGGTACCCCCAGTACAAGCAACACCATCACCAATGTCTCGATTGCAGTCTGGTCATGCTCAAGCAATGTTGCAACAGCTGATTGCAGAAGCAGACAACAATCAGGTGGGTATCATATTTTAGCTGAACCAAGCATATCAGTTCCCAGTTTATAATACTTGGAAGGATGCTGTAGAAAAGAAGAGGATGAAGCCCAGGAAGCATCAGTGTATACATGAATGATATCTATTAATATCTTCTTGAAGGTTATAGTTAATTTGAAGAAGTTATCTAATTCCTGACAACTCTACTCTAAACCTTAATGTCAACTTTGATACAATATATCCAATTTTGTAAGTCTAATGCATCATACTTTCCAGGTGGCTTTCAGTGAGGATTGCTCAAACACGGAACCAAGAGACCAGACATTACATGGGGTCAAGGCTTGTACAACCGATGATGTCATTCACAAGAGGTGGCTTAGTAAGTGCTCAATCCCTGCCACCATCTGTACCCTCATTTTTTGTTTATGTTTATTATTTTATTAGTCATGCACCTGTTTTTAATCCTGGCAAATGGAACCAGATTTAGGCTCTCTGGTTTTTAGTGTTTTGTGTATAAATGATGTGAAATAAAAGCTTTTATTGAAGGTTTGGAATGACTTTGGAGCATCAACCAGAGCTTGAAGTTAAGGTGATGAAAGGTTAGGCATTTTGCTTCCATACCTGTTGTAATTTTAGGGACAATAATGCTCAAGATATAATGTCTTTGTTTACTTTATTCATATATAATTTTTTAATGAGATTATTGTTTTCTTTCCTTCTTTTCAGTTGAGCTGGTCAATAGTCAGGTGCTGCTTAAAGGTTGTGAGACGCAAGGCTACGTCATTCTTAGTGCGGCCAAGGCACAGATAACACAACGCATTCATCGGCCTGTCTGGCAGGATCACTTTCTTGTTACTAAGACCACTTGGTATGGGTCACTGGAGTGCATGCAGTACTATGCTACTGTCAGTGCTGGGGACAAGGAGACACAAATGGGTGGGTTATTTGAGTGTTTTATAATGTTATGTCTTTCTTGTTGTACACACTTTAGCCATTCAAATTGAGTGAATGGATGGAGGAGAGTGAAAGAAAATTCTATTTTTGCTCTTTGATTCCAGTCATCTCTAGTGTAGCTTTCCTCTTAGTTTTCCAATATGATGTTTCTCACTACTGTAAATGATTCCACAAACAAATTAATTTTCCATACATTCTCTTCCTTCCATGAGTCCATACTAATCCTCTCTTAATAATCACTGCTTTTTGCTGCAGCTCTCAGTGCCGGCTCTTCTTGGGATACTCAAGACCGTTTTTTTCCTCACTAACTTTTGCATTCATTATCACTTTTACTGGGAACTTTAAATGCTCTCTGCTATTCTTGTCACTCCTCCTGTTATGAATACCTGTACACTCTTGGCAACCAATCCATCATTTTCTCACCTCCTGCCTCAACATTTCCATTGTGATTCCATCCTCCATCTTTCACCCTGATACTCGGCCACATTCTCTTTTCAATTTTTTCGAACTTTTCTCTTTTCTTTGAATCTCTTTCTAATAGAAGTTAATATTTCTTTTAACTTGTTTATTCTTCAGGAGGAGAAACATACTAATTATTACCTTACATACTTCCACAGACAACATCATGTGGCTAACAGTTGATAATATAGAGGAGAAGGATGGCCAAGTAATCAATGAGGTGGCAGATATTGTTGGCAGTGGTCAGTCAGTTGGTGGTGTTGTCTCACAAACAGTTGGATCAATGGATGAGGGAGATGATGAACATCAGGTATGGTGGTGAGACAATAAGTGTTTTCCTTTACTCACAGTTTTTAGCTTTAATACCTCAAGTAACTCCTATTACTGTACAGGTACATCCTTACAAAGTAAACCTCAGTCATAAAATGTGCTAAATTTACATTATTCTTAATTATTTATTTTTAATTAACTTGTAGTAAAACTGCTTAATACATGGCAATGTATACCAGTGTCTCTAGGACTGATATTACATTAAGGACATCATATTTTAATGGGAAATGCTCAAAATGTAAATGTATACAATACGTATACAGTAATATCTCCGTTAGCCGGAATCCCTCAAACCCGGAACTCTCCGATAGCAAGAATTGAAATTGTCTCGTAAATCATTCCCAAAGCCGGAATTTTCCAGAAAATTCTGGCTTTGGGAACTATTTTTCCAGGGGCACATTTTCCGGAAAATTCTGGGGGTGGGGGATTTTTTTCCGGGTTTGAGAGATGAAAATCAGGTGCATTTTCTGGAAATTCCAAGAAAAATTTAACGTTACCTGGAAAATTCCAGAAAATTCCGGGGTTGAGGGATTTTTTCCGGCCTTGAGAGAGTCGTCTCGTTACCCGAAAATCTCTCATTCCCGGAAGTGCTCTGCAACAATTGTTCCGGGTAATGGAGATATCACTGTACAGTATATACAGTATGTATAGAGGACTCTATGTGGAGTCTAAATGAAAATGCTGTACTGTATTATACTGAGTAGCCATATATACAGTATAAATTTTTTGCAATTGTTCTCACAAATCAATGTTCCTCACCACAGCTGCAACGTATAGTATCCCGCTGCCACTGTGAATTTTATTATGTATCGTATGGTGAGACTGGTCTGGACTTGTCACTCATGGAAGAAGTCCAGCCTCCACTTCCAGAAGATGACTTATGGAACCGGAATGTTGAAGCTGTTGATACGTTCACTCTGATGCACCATGACCTGTGTGCCAGTACTAATTCTTTACAGGTGAGGTCAACCTCATACTCGAGGCATATCCTCAAAGCTACCAAGTCACAATGTATGAAGAATTCAGAATATTTTTTCACTCGTGTTTGAAGTTTTGATATTATTATTTTTTTATGTTAACTCTTATTAACTCCATGTGTACAGGATCCTCTCAGAGTTGCATAAAATTGTCTGATGTTAAGCAAATAAAATATTAAAAGTATCGTCCTCATAGTGAAGGGGTGAACATCAGCCCAGGATCAGTTGATGTGGAGACAATGTGTAAAACAGCAAAACCTAAGTTGAGAATTCTTACTAATTTCTAAAACTGACTTTTTTTTTTCAGTACAATATGGTAGTTGACATTTTGAACAACTTACTTCTCTATGTGGATCCAAAGAAGAAAGAAGCCACTGAGGGCATAGCACGAATGAGGTTCCAACTTCAGCTGTATTCGAGAGATGACCAGAGAAAGCCTATCATTAGGCTCCAAAACCAAGTCAGGCAAGTAACCTTTGTCTTCTTAAGTAATTTTTTCCTCTCAGTCTACCTTGTGTAGATGAGGGATTATAAACACACTTTTGAAATATCTTGAGTCGGTGTCTTACCACACTGTTTCATGTTGTGATCCTGTGAGTCATGATAACTAAAACTACATATACAGTGTTTTAGTTTGAGCTTAGTTAACCATTTTTAATATCCTGTACTGTGATCTACAATACTATAAGTTGCTTTTAGTTTGTCTTAATATACTGTTGGCTTAATAATGTCACTCAGAGGATGATTTTGAGAAAGGAAGGAACTGTTTATGAAATGTAGAACTACTTTTCGTATAGTATCTATGTGTTACTGTATCTCTTATGTATTATGTATGATGTTTAGTGTTTATTAAAGCCATTTTGGAACAGTTTATGCATATTTTTTGGCCTCTAGAACTTAACTAATTATTTCCATTTAAATTAATTCAATTATAATTCGCGATACAATAATTCACGATGTCTTCAGTTACCTAACCCACAAATTATCACGACTTCATTGTATATGGAGTATAGATGGATGCCTTGGTTGTAGGGACATAGAAAGACAGTTAGACTATTACGGTCGTATAAGTGACATTGGTATATCTTCCCCAGGTATCACTTGTCCCAACTAAGAAGCTTGGAGAAAGAGGTGTACTTGGTTCAGAGGCAGCTGGATAAGGAACCAAATAATGAACAAAAAAGGAAAGAGAAGCTCAAATTGGAGGAGCAAGTAAGTTCCTAGCTTTTTCTCTATTCAATTTTGTGAATTTTAAGTGCAAGTGGTATTAGGAGTGTTTGCCTTAAATAACTTCTCTGCATTACCATCATCAGGTGTCAGACTGCAAGGAGCAAGTGAACAGTCTGAGTGAAGAGTTAGCCATGAGGATTCACTGCTACAATGAGAACCAGCTTTCTGCAAACCATAAATGGATGGCTCTCGGCGGGGACAAACAGGTATTTATAATTCATGATTATATGTTCGTATTACTAGTTGTTTTATCTTGTTTCCTGTTTCTTCCATTCCTCACTGTGTCCATAAACAACATCAGTGTGTTAATCATGGTATGATTTTCATTTATTTTTAAAGTATTTTGCATCATGACCTTCATTATACTGTAATCAGATAATTTTCACCCAAATTTTCTATGTCTTGTAGGTGAAAGTGATTCGGATGAATGAAGTATGCTTCAGAAAAGCCCAGTGGCGATTGACGGAGGCAGATGGTCAGCTGGGTATTGCTGACTTGGTTTTGTCCAATTTTCTGTAAGTTGGGAATTGTATCCTTTGTGTTTGTTTCCTGGACCTCAATACAGGAATGTCTGTTCATCGTGTACTGTGGATATGTTTATGCACTAACTCTATTTTATGAAAACTAAAAAATCTCATTATTTCAAGCATAAGAATAGTAATAATTATAATGAAGTTAATACCAATTACCTTGTGATTTAGTGTTTGGTATGCCACTAAGAATTTGGGACACTGAATAGGGTTGATTCATTGGTCTCCTGAACCTCAACTTCATCCAGTCCAAGCATGGCAGCCTTTTCTAAGCTACACCTGAACCTCCCTAAATGATATATGGGATACAACTTTATAACTTGACATCTATGCAACCCCCTCCCACACACACACACAGTTATATCCCATGTATGACATATTGAATTTTGTAGTGGCACATCTCTTATTCAGTGATTGTTTGTTTCATCGCTATAACAGGTACACTAAGAAGAACAATGCAGATGACAGTGGGGAACACCTCTTGGAGCTTGGCTATGTGACCATGAGGAACCTCTTGCCTAACCAGCCTTATCAGGAGGTTCTCATGCCATCCGAGCTACAGTTGAATATGCCAGTTGATCGACAGGTACAGTATGTTTGTCAGCTGAACACCTTTCATCACCCGAAGAAAAATATTTAAATGATAAATAATATATAAAGTGAATTGTGTCGTCAGTACAGTGATAAAATGATCAACTTAGAAGTAATATTTCAACTGTACTGAATCTATAATGTTTTCATTATTCCATCTGTTTAATTGAAATTGATGTTTCATACTGTATATCATTGTGCAGGCGGCATTGATTTAATGTTTTTAGTTTGTCTTCTGTAGGTTTATATTCTGCTATGTATTTACCAGCAGTTGTTTGTTATTATGAATATTTGTACTGTATTTGTGTATTTTTTTTTACAGAGAACGCTGAGAATATTTTGCCGTGAAAAGCCACCTTGTGGAGGGATATCTATTATTGAACATTTTGAAATCAATGTAGTTCCCTTGAATATTGGTGAGTATTTGTCATACTGTATTAAAGACCATTTTATATCCAATAAAACAGGTTCACACTATGCTGTGCCATGTTGACACTTACCCTACTTCTCCACAACTTTCAGTCACTAGCAACAGTTGCCAGTTCCCATCAACGCTCTGAGCACCAAAAATATACAAGACTTTCTCTATCATTAAAAAAATTAATTACTGAGCAAAATTGGGCAAGGAGCAAATTCTTAAGTTGTGACACACTGCTGTAGAATGAATGAGAGCACAGTTTAGATGAAATGGTTGTCGTGATGGAATTTTGAGACAAATTAAAAAAAAGAGAAAAAAAAAGTCGTAATTCACAATTTCATGGAATTTTTTATCCCACTCTCAAAATATATTAAGGGTCTACTATATTGACATACAGTATATGAATATAAATGGTTAATACAGGACTTTGATAAGAGGTAAAGGAAGACTTGTATTTTAACAGAGTTGGATTAGTTCATAAATGCCAGTGTTGTTATATCGATGATGCATCAGTGAATATTGTACAAGTTCTTGATGTTGGTACTACTTTCCAGCTCTGACATACCAGTTCTTCAAGACTATGATGAAGTTCTGCTTCCCTGATAATGCAACAGAAGAAGAGCTGTCTGGTGTGGAAGTTGCAACAAGTAGGTTCTAACATTAGACCAGTGTGGTGCAGTACTGTATTATCAGTTAAAATATTTACAGTACCTTTATTTCACTAATACTCTACCTGTAATTATTTTTTTTTACTCTTTATATTTTAGTTTAATTTGAATTATACTTGGTGGACAGTCTGCTTTTGTGTTTTCTCTCAAAGATACAGAAGTTTTAATATTTTGTAGTTTAAAGAACATTTAACCATCTTACTTACAATTTTTCTCCACACGTCTGCTTTAGCTCAAAACTCTCGGGGCAGCAAGAAACAAGCATCTCTGAGGAAATCCCACAAGGAGTCAAACTTCTATGTGTGTCTACAAGATAAGGACGATGTAGAAATCATGAAGGTAATATTCCCACTCTGTTCTTAGTTAAGTCTTAAGTTATACCTACAACATGGTTACAGTGTTCTACACTAATTCTATCACATATCCTTAAATTACCTATCAAGGAATTGAAGTTTATTATGTGCCTGAATAAAATTGTCTTTTGTTAGCCAAATAAAATCTTAAATGTGGCATCCCTGTAGTGAAGGGATATCTGATACCGGTATACTTTTTTCTTTTCGCACACAGCAACGGGCAGAACAGAACAAATTATTCGTTTACATCAAGATCCCAGAGCTACCTGTGCGTGTCAGCTACAAGGGCAAGAAAGAGAAGAATATAGAAGATGTGTCCAACTTTAGACTGGTCGTTCCTACCCTTGAGTACCACAATGTTACCTGGACTTGGCTGGACTTCCTTATGGCCATGAAACAGGATTCCAAGTCAGCTCTTTTATCACAGGTCTGAACACTAGTATTTTTGTTTCATATTCATTCAGTGTTTTAAGATGTGTTTAAGATGTGTTTAATAATGAACTTACAAACAAACATGAAATTGGTTGGAACTTTATTCACCCAAAATATGAAGTTTAGTTATTCTCTGTTTTTTTCTTTTGTTTTTTAATGGAAGATAATAATGTTGTAGAAACGTTTTTAAGGATATAATAAAAAAATATATTACTATACACTTTATTAGCTCATTATATTAGTAGACAAAAAACATTAGGTGAGTAGATATCTTAGTTCCTCCTTTAACAGGCTATTAAGCACAAATTGAACCTGGCACACTTCCGGGCTGATGATACGTCCATGCCCAATGAAGAGGAAAAGGCCCGTCTCCTCCTCGGCAGCAAATTAATGGCAAGTTGTACTGCATAGAGTTTGTGCAGTGTTGTTTTTTCTTTTCATAGTTTCATTATAAACAACGAAATCATGGCGTAGTTTTTAATAGGCCATCATATGAGAATCTTGTGTAGTATTTTTTCCTGGTGCTCAGTGTTCATAATTTATATTTTAAAATTACGGTAAAAGAGTATTTGGAATTTGTTCAGTGTAAAGTCCATAAGAAAAGCCAAAAAATTTACCTGTATACAGTATTTCTTTATTTAAATTGCTTAATAGTTTTCTTGTTATCCACAATTAAGTACTGGACTGGACTGGACAGTATTTTGAATAAGTGTTTATATATGTGCATCCAGGTGTATGTATCTTGTATACACATGAAGGCATGAATACCTGCACATACATATTATACAGTAGTATCATGTATTTGTAGGTGTTTGTTTTTGTTTTAAAGACACTAGTGTGATCAGTCTCATAAGTGTTGAAAATATATACTGTACATACTGGTGTATCATTCCTTCTCATTTTCTCCTTCACAGCCTCCAGAGTCCAGAGGCACAAAGAAGAGCCTTTTTAAGTTTAACAGATAGCCAAGAAGATGGTAAGCTGGTGCTGATGGTGCTTCACGTGGAAGTTGTTAAAATGTCTTATAAAGGAAAATTTTATTAAAGATTATACATATATCATGCGGTACTATTCATCTCATTGTGATATATGTGTTATGTGAATATTTTAAGTTAATTATAAATTCTAATTATTGTGGATGAAATGTAGAATTTTAGGCTTTGAGCTGAATTGATAATGTTCAAGTTTCTAGAAAGATTTGTTTGATTTATCATTCCTGTAGTATGGATGTTGAGGTACTCAATACAGGTACCTGTACTGGTACCTTGAAATTGTTGAATGTGTATGTGTGTGTTTAGAACAAGACAACTTCTTTATTATGCAGGAGTTCTACCAACAAGTGAAGTTCCTTGGCAAATATTTCTAGCCTTAATCTTTTATCTTAATATTTGGTGTGAGATAGAACTTCTTACTGATATGTTGCTTGAGAAACTTGTCGTAAATTTGAGAAATAATGTGCATATTGAAACTTGTCATCAACTAATAATCTTATATCTCATCCTGATTATTGACCATCATGGACCAGTATTTATAAGTATCCTTATATACTTTTTTCTCCATAAGACAATCTCATGACCACCTACAGATCAAAACAATGTGAAGTTTGAACTCTATCTCTTGATTTAACCATTACAGTATTCTTATAATTAATAGAACTTTGCCATCTATGTCTACCCACAAATATGGTTGTATTATGGTTATGACAGAATCCGTTGTCTTTTGTTTGATAACTTTAGGTTCCATATTATTTTAAACATGTTGAGTACTGTATTTCATATTTGTAGTGAAGGTTAATCAGGAAAATAGAGTTTAGACTTCATTTATTGTGGTTCTAGTTTAGCGGTCAATTGGTTGCTGGAATATCTTACACCCATAGGAGGAGCATTTATTGTTGCATGTAGAGGATAAAGAGGAAAATACATACAGGACTACGGTATACAGTACAGTATCTTGTATGATCTAGATATGTATGCTCAATATCTTTCCCAAGAAATGTAGCGAATGTACCAATAATTCCAGATATACATGACATCTTTTTTTAGCAATGTGATAATTTGTATGCAATACTTTTGCTGTATGTGTCTATTTTAGATTTGTTTATAAATTAAATTGTTTTACTTGGCAATTTAAAAAAAAATGTTTATGAAGGTTGTTTAATTATTTTTTTATTATAAAACTGAGTTATTTTAAATAATACATTATAGGAATCATTGTGAAGACAGAGATACCTGTTTAATGTACAGTATTGTTGTCTGTTGTGTAGCACTTTCAGTGATGACATATTACTGATCCACATAGTGTCTGCATGTGCCTTTTCATGGTAACTTGTTGTCTTGGAGTTCATGTTAGTTTTCAGATACTGTTCAGTATTTGTGACATATAGCATCTGTATACCACCCCTAAAATTTTTTGACTGATCTTTTTAGATATACAAAAGAAGAGAAATCGGTATAATTCTGTATGTGAAATGAAATACCGTACTGTACATGATTTACCGTATTACAATACAGTAAGACCCCCTGAGTCGGAAACCCCCATTAGTTGGACTAAGGCCTGGGTCTGCCATCACTCACCCTACACCTCAGAGTCAGAATTGGTGTTAACCCTCGATATGCCACATTGCATTCTCAATTCCGACAGTGATTAAACCAAGACATAAATGCTTGTTTTAGATGTTACTGTACAGATAAATATAAGTGAAACTAAATAGCATAAGTGAAACTACAGTAAAGTAAGTTTAAGCGGCCCTCCCCTTTGTCCTCCAGCTTGAGATCCATCAAGATTTGTCTGTTACAGTAATCTCAAAATTCATCTGCTACAATGTAAGTAGACTGTAAATAAGTACTTTTGTTAACTTTAGTTTTGTTTTTGGATGTGATTTTTCAGCAAAATGGTGGTCGAAATTACGGGGGGGGGGGTTTGGGTGTCCATGTAAGTCAGACTAGCTTGAGCCCCATATAGTCCAACGTAGGGGGTCTTACGGTAATGTAGTTTGGGCTGATATTTCAAAGGAACTTTTGAAAAATGTCCATTACGGTACAGCTTTTCTCATTACAGTACAATACCATATTTCCAAATTTGCAGAACTGTCGTGTTTGTTCACACTGTTAATAATTTTTGATGTGTGGACAATTGGAAGACTTATAATTTATAGGAAATGAATTTTAAGTGTTGCATGAATGAGATTGTAGTGAGAGATATTCTGTATGGGAGACATTTGATAATGATGAACAATTATTTGCCTCAAGAATAGCACAGAAAATGGGTGAAATATTTATAGGGCAGACTTAAACAGGACAATAGTGTATGTGTGAGAGTAGATGATAGATTGATTGATTGATTGATTCTGCAGAGTGCAGGAGAGAGAAGGAATATGACACTAAATTATACATCCTAAATTCTGGGAAAAATTTGAATTGTGTATAAAAGTCGGTCTTGGTACAGTATATATGATTTCTTGGTGAGGACTTTATGTTCTACTTGTATTTATGTACTGTATTGTTATAATTAAAAATTTAGAATAGAACTTAACCCCTTGTGTACGGGATCCCCTCTATACTGAATAAAATTGTCTGATGTTAGCCGACTTAATATTAAAAGTAGCATCCCTGTAGTGAAGGGGTTAGTAGAGATAGTCTACCAACCCCTTGTGTACAGGGTCTCTTCTGTTCTCAACAAGGTCATCAAACATTAACAAAATAAAATATTAAAAGTGGTGTCCCTGTAGCGCAGGGGTTAAGAATAAAATTATGTAAAGTAATCTGTGTTAATGAAGTAAAATTATTTTCTTTGTTTTCCTTGTACATAATGAAGTCATGTATCCCGGTGATTTGGAGTTGCACATTATCTTGGTTACTTAGGCCTATTTGACATCTCCTATTGTAGTTTATGTTAGTTTTCCTGTCAAGGCAGCAAGTTTATGTATCGTCAGTATGATAGATCCAATTATCAGTTACCATTGTTTATAATATATATGTAATACAGTATATACTGTACTGTATATGTTTGATTTGTATCTTTGAGTGCTTGCATCTGTAATTGTATAGATATATATTTTTTCTAAGATTTATGAACTAAGCTTTAAATCCATGACCTAATGTGTTTATTCAAGTAAAGACCAAGGGATTTTTTTTTTATCTTGTATGTTTACAGTTATGGTACTTACATATTTTCTTATTTCAATATAGTATTGCCTTAATTAAAATACTGTAGTGTAATAATCATTTGTAAATCACCACTTTGGGATAGTGATATCAAGCATTGCATCCACCTGGTATTGGTGAGGGGTAACTTCACTGTTGTAGATTTGTATTCATATTTAGTGAAGCAAGTTTGGTACCCCCTCCCTCATATAAAAATCCCCAGTCACTCAAGTGCAGAACTTAGAAATATATAAGAATTCAATTCATAGTTTCTTTAAACATTATAATTTCTGTGAAAACAATGGTGCTAATCTTGGTTTGATGCAATTTTTTTCCATTTATCTTTCATTCGTGACATGTTGTATGTTAAAAGCCATGATGCCGAAATAAATGGATGTAAAAGACCTCATGTGTGTGTGTGTGTATTGGTAATGATAGTGAATATGAGTTTACCGGTAATAGCTGTAAAACTTTTATATGAGATAATAAAATGTTTGGGGTAAATATACGTATACAGTGTGTTTTATATATTTGGTGATTACAAATAATCTTGCCAATATCAAACATATATTATGAAAAGAAATTAAATCTACAATGAAAAACAAAGTACGTACTGTACTTACAGTATTATATTAATAAAAAAGAACTCATAAAGTTGTATTTACAAGTTATAGTAGTTCAGTGTGAGCTGATTTTGTGGCTCTGTATACATGAAAGCAGTACTGTACAGTGTTATGTTTCCCTGTATACATTTTGCAACATATACAAAAATGTAACAATCTCACCATATTGTTGTCTTCAAATTTTTTGAAGTTGCTGACATTGGTTAAACAAAAACTTCATTTGTGACATAGCCCCAGAGGAAAAAGTTAAGGGGGTTTAAATCAGGCAACTGAGCCAGCCAAGGAATGGTCCCCTTGACTGTAGTTTTGTTAGAATTTAAATAATGAACGTTTAAAATGGGAGAGAGATTTGTAATCACCTGGTGTACTATACAGATATATTTAATACAGGCATATGTACTCTGTTGGATTATATAGTAGTATTGCTTTTTTTTCTCTTTTTGCATTAAAAAGTGATAGAAGACAGAATTCTATACAGGTATTTCTGTTACTACTGAATATACAGTATACGGTGTTTTGAAAGTAAGAAGCGTTAGTATTTGCTATGTGGTCAACAACCGAATGATTTCTTTCAAGTTGTTGGTGATTATTTAGCACTTGAAAATTATTTATTTACACCAAATTAGGTAAGTTTTTACATTATTTTCTTTAAAGACAAGATAACATTATTTTAATTGTTATTAGATTACTTATATAGACTAAAGGTCTTCACAGGCAAAGTTTTATTTAATTACTTTACGGTGGGATTGCTGCTAGTTCAACACCCTCTGTAAACTTGTGTATAACACAGAATCGGGAATTCACTTGTCAGTTACAGTATCAGTATTCGCACAAAAGAATAGGGAGGGCTCGAGATAAGCACGTGTTTGAAATAAAAGTTGCTGGCTTGCTAATTTCAGACTTTTTTTTTCCCAAAATGCTCACGTTATTTTATTATTTTAGTAACCAACATTTTGATGTAACTCTGATATTTTCTAGTACTTTACTCATTTTGGGCCTCAGTCATTAATTTAATAATTTATACTCCCCCAAGCTAGGTTCTGATCTTGTACCAAACCTTCCTAGCCAAGCAGTGGAACCCGATGTTGAGGGCCTCTGTCTTATGCGAGTCATAGTCTCGTTGTAAGGCAGAACCTGGCCGCTGGTAACACTCACATTTTGAAAGCTGTTGAGCTGTTGTAGCCTCGTCTTGCTGTATGCAATGGTTGTACTAGTGTCTTGTATAGGTGAAATTTGATTTGTTCTGGGAGGAGCTTGAAGTGTTTCAGCTTGGTAGCGACGACCTTGGCCACTTTCAGTCTGTCCCTGGTATGAGTTAGGGGTGCCCCTCTTTGTGATGGTGAGGCCGAGAACCTACCTTGTTTGGTGTAGCTAATACTGTATGCTCCTCATTAACCACTGGGGGAAGATGGCTTGAACTTGGCTTTCTTGGTCTTGATCTTCCATTTACGTTCTTACTCTGAGAATGTTTATTGTTCAGCTCTGTCTTGTCGCTGGATTGGCCAGGGTAAGTCATTAACTGTGTCACATCTTCAGGTGATGGAGGTGGGGCATGTTGGTTGTGTAGAGGGTCGTGAGAGGGGGAATTTCTGCATGGTTTATTTTTAATGTTTTATCAGTGGCCCCTCGGGGTGCCAATGAACCTGAAAGGGCCCCTGGAGGAGCCACCGGCCCTGGCAGGGTCCTTGGGAGCGTCACTGCCCCAGGACGGGCCCCTGGGGTCACCACCGCCCCTTGGAGGGCACCTGGGGCGCCACCACCCCTTGGAGAGCCCCTGGGGCGCCATCGCTCCTTGGAGGGCCCCTAGGGGCGCCACCGCCCCTTGAAGGGCCCCTGGGGACTCCGCCACCCCATGAAAGGCCACCTGGGTGCGCCGTTGCCCCTGGGAGTGCCGCTGCCCCCTGGGAGGGCCCCTGGGGGCACCACCGCCCCTGGGAGGGCCTCCGATGCCATTCGATGGGCCCCAGAGGGTGCCGCTGCCCCTGGCAGGGGCCCAGGGGGCAACACTGCTACTGGGAGGGCTCCTGGGGTTTCTGCTGCCCCTGGAAGGGCCCTTGGGGGCATAGTAGCTCCTCGGAAGGACCCTGGGGTCGTCACTGCCCCGAGCAGTGCCCCTGGGGTCATGGTTGCTACTTGGAGTGCACTTGGGGACGCCCCCGCCTCTGGGAGGGCCTGTGGGTACGCCACCGAGCCTGGGAGAGGTCTTCGAGTACCGCTGCCCTTACGGAGAGCTCCTGGTAGCGACGTCGCCCCAGGGGGGTGGGGGGGGTGGGAACGCTGCCCCTAAAGAGAGCCATCGGTATCGGCGTCGCCCCTTGGCGGTCCCCTGCCAGCACCATCGCACCTGGGAGGTCCCCTGGGGCCGCCTCTGCCCCTAGAAAAGCCATTGGGGGAGCCACTGTGCCTGGGAGGGTCCCTGCGGGCGCCACTGACCACACGGGAGCCTCCAAGTGGCAACGGCGCCCAAAGGGCCCTCCCAAGGGCGGTTGCATGCCCAGGGGTCCTCCTAGGGGCGGTGGCGCCCACAGAGGCTTTCCCAGGGACAGCGGTGCCCCCAGGGGACCTCTCAGGTGTGGTGAATCCCCCAGAAGCCCGTCAAAATGCAAAGATACCCCCAGGGGTGTTACCGCCCCCAGTGGCAATGGTGCCCCCAGGGGACCTGCCAAGGGTAACAGCGCCCCTATGGGCCCGCCAAAAGCAACGACGCCCCATGGGCCCTCTCAAGGGTGGTGGAACACCCAGGGGCGGTGGTGCACACAGGGGCTCTCCCAGGGGCCGCAGAGCACCCACCGGACATCTCAGGGGTGGTGGCATCCCCAGAGGTCCGCCAAGGGGCAGCGGCGCCCCAGGGGCTCTCCTTAGGGCAGCGGTGTCCCATAGAGCCCCTTCTAGGGGCGGTGACGCCCCAAGGGGCGGCGGTGCCCTCAGGGTCCTCCCAGGCATCCTGCCAGACGCGCCCCCAACCAGGATACCTCTAGCTTTTCGTTGTGGCGTCATGTATATTGTATACGTCCAGAAATACTTTACTTAACTGTGATTGGTTGACTGAAATCTAAATCCAC